CAAACTAGAATAGCCGTTGTGGAAGATGGTATGGCTGCGGATCCAGCTACCATGTACGCCGCGCGTGTCAATCAAAGTGGGATAGTTGGCTTTAAAATAGACGAATATCCATTTGGGCCGTCACTGATCCCACATGCAAATTCAAGTAGGGTGCAGACCGTCGACGCGTGGAGGACCAACTACCCTGGCGTCTGGTTTTGATAGTGTGATGTCGGCAATGACACGCCATCAAGTAGCCTTTTAACCACCACTACCCAGCGGAATGGACACGGGATAGAGATTAACAAACTGAAGCTTCATTAAGTCGAGTAGCCCGAATGATATATCCATTGTTTAATAGAGAATACTTGGGGTGAGCGGGTCAACAACACAAAAGACGTTGAAAGAATACCGTGACGATTACAGGTGCGTATACGGTCAAGCTAGCAATCCACTGTTGGCAACGTATAAGAGGCGCGAGAAGTTAACGATGTCATCATAAGAGTAGTCAAATTTTGCCACAAGCGCTTTGGTGAGAAGCCGAAAGATATCCATCACGCTAAATCTTGCTGTTTAATTGTAACCTGCATCGCTAGGATTTCGAAACAAAACATTGATGTAAGTGTAATGTAGGAGGGTGTAGTGTTTCGTCGGAGATTCGGTATTGAGCTGTATCGCCCCGTTTATTTTGCAACATAAAATGTCAAAATAACCAAACAACTTGCACCATTACGCCGTGCATCCAACTTGTAAATGATGCTATCGTATAGTGGCTGCGGAGGAGCAGTTTGTAAGTTCGTAGGTTGACTAAGTACAATACAACCCCTACGATCCTTCCAAACAATCCGACTTTCTAGGTGAGAAATTTATGCTTCATCCATGTGGGATAGGGAACGGATCCGTGGACATTCCTTCTTTGCAGCTACTGGATACAGGGAGTTTTCAGATCAGACACATCCTCCGAAAAAGCAGGGGCACTCCCGTAAACAGTGTAGATCACAATTCAAATAAGGCATCGCACTGTTTCTTGAACCCGGTAACTGTGTCGGCATTAACAACATCAGCACGCCCTGAGAGTCGATAGATGTGCGGGAGGCCATCTTTCCGTTGTACCACTAGCTTGAAGCAGTGTCCGCGCGTAGGCATATCGACGGCCAATTGGGAATATCATGCGAGCTCCGGGTTGGCACCGCAAACGATCACTTTATACATGATTTTGTCGCTCTTGGAGCGTCGAAATCCGAAGGTAAACAAGTTCAGCGCTTTACAGCGTTCTGGTTATGTCAGCCCCCTCAATTCAGGTACCATTCTTGAACCCAGCCCTAATAACAAGCTATATAGCTGCTATATCCGCGAATGTCGACATGGCG